AAAAAAAAAAAAATCAACTTGTGAAGGTATCGACAAGGTGCTTTTGAAAGGATCGCAATTCAAAATTAAATTCTGAAAAACTAAGAAAGCGAGCTTAATCAGAGATGTGCAACGTTTAATATTTTTATTTCCTGCGTGCGCAGTACCAACAATAAAAATATACTTGGCTTGGCTAAAGAAATAACTTTGCTTTTGGCCAATGCTTCAACACACACTTATGCATATTCAATTTTCATATTAATAAAGTACATGACACGCCAAAAATAAACCATGTCGTGATTTTATTTCAATTCTGCTTCAATCGCTCACAGAGATCATCAGATTTTATTTCAGCTAACATTCTTTTCCCTTGGTTATCAAACATGCGACAACAGATCAGATGTGTAAGGCGCGAAGGAGCAAAAGCGCACCATTTTGGCATCATTGAAATGGGGGGAGGGGTGGTCCAGATGTTCCATTCCAGTAGCTAGTACTAAGAAACCTATAGTCTTAATTTGTCAGGTATGTTTTCTCATGCTTCAGCAATATTAAGTATTACTGTAGTGGATAATTGCAAACTGAACATAAGAATTCAGCATCAATAAATGAGTACCTGCCCTAAAACTCATATACCATAGTCATGTAAATTCCAGAGCATGCAGACAAACTATGCATGATTAGTGTATATAAATTGACTACCAACTGTCAAAGATACAATTTTAAATTTTCAAATGTGTACTTACTAAAGAACTCTAAAAACATCTTCTGCCTTTCAAATTCTTGAATATATTTGCTTCTCTCAGTTATATGATGATAACTTTGAAGCATCTGTAGTAAAGGTTATGATATATATCAATCAGTGGCTTTAACTTTGAGAAATAATGTGAAGAATGTACACTTTCACATTGCTTGAAATGCTTAAGCTAGTATTTGGTTAAACTTTTACTTAACCAATTTATTTAAGTTACAAATTGTTTAAAACATTTGGCAGGATTTAAATGGAAATGATACAGGTTTTACAAATTGGCAATCTTTGTGCTGATAATTTATTCCATATATATCCAGTCATTGAAAATAAAGTAGACAATTATGTAATATTATTAAAACTAAAACTAATGATAATGCATACTGTACTCAAGTCTGATGTGCTAGTAATCATCCACATTATATAAAATTATGTACTTGGTTTTTTTTTTTTGTTTGCTTGATTTTTGCTTCCATTCAGGTAATGTGCACAATGTACTGTAGCTGTCACCAGTTCTTCAGTTCAACAGTTCATCATGAAATGAATTCATTATTTACATATATTAATTAAATACAAACCTGTTGTTCAGTGTAATCCAGAATAGACAATGTGTCTTCTAAAAATCCACATACAATCTACAATGTTAAAACAAGGTTATCTGAAAGTTGAATGTTAGTCCAGTTGCTGTGAATGTTACCAAATATTTCAACTTCCAATCATTGTTTAATGTAAACAAACCAAATGCTAACAGGTGCATGTGAAATACTTTGGTACTTAAAATTTAACTACAAGCTGGGATTACTTTCATTGCCAACTCAATCAAACCAAAAAAAAAAAAGACAAAAAAATATATATACAGAACTATTTGCAGCATTTCAGACTAACTGAATTGCAGTGGCATGATTGGCAGCTGTTACAATAAATGTTCTAAATCAAGCTTCATGTGCAGTTATCTCGTGCATGTGCCAGACTAGTGTACCCAATCTCCATCATGTGTACATACAATGTACATTCACGTACCAATTAGTTGTCAAGGGCATCAGGTAACAACAAATCACATTTGAGAATTTTGTTGACACAATTATCACGTTAATCTGACAATCATCAATAGGTCATATGCATGATTACATCACGTGCTGACAATTTACCCCAAGCCTTGATTGCAGAAAATTTCTGAAACCACAGGCACCTTGACGTGCTAGCTGTTTTCATTTGGATATTCTTTTCATGTTTGCTGCTTTAGGAATTTGTTCATGATAAAATTAATTTTACAATTTGCTTTTTCAAAGTGAGGCTGGGTGGTTATTTGTGCTAGTCCGCTGGCCAGCATCACGCATAAGGGCTATTTTCTGGTCTTCTCCAGAGCACAAATGTTTACAAACTAAAATTAAGAATTAACAGTGTGTTACATCAAGTGCAGGCACCTACCATGAAAAATGCAACTAGTTTATCATCTGTATACAGTGGTGACAATATTACTGAAAAAGAAGTTAAAACTGTCATGAGATTATTGTTTCTACATGTATGATACAAATATGACTAGCAGATATGCATGTAAATTAAAATATTACAAGCCTCACAACTTGACAAGATACTAGAACTTCTGAGAGGTACACTGTACATTTACTTGGTAGAATACATGATACTGAACATTTGTGCAGTCAAACAATAAAATGCTCCAAAGGTAACCTTGCAGCACTTTATAGATATTGCATAAAATTAATGATCATGCATGGAACACCTACATCCATGCAGCTCTGTGTACATTCTCCGACACTGGGGCATTGAAAGTTTTGTGATTATTTGATGATATTATCAACTCAGATATTATATTATCAGAGTACAAATTAAATTTGTCTAAAGATGGGCCATATTCTATTTTAATATACTACAATAAAATTAATCTCTACTAATGTCCTTACTCAAAAAGTCAAGATACAAGGTTAAACACATACCACAAAAGCGTGCTATCACAGTCATCAACAAGCCAATTACGACGCTTTAACAAGCATGTAACGCAGTAACTGACATACATGGTGTAACAGTGTTACGTGTACCAACCTTTTTGATCATTCCCTGAATGCACTCCTGCTGTTGGTAGAAACACCAATAAAGGATCATCTTCATTGATTCCAGGTGGTAAAACTATTCTTTGTCTACCATCTATTGCCTTCCTGAATTTAAATGAAATTAAAGACACTTGTCTGTAATATTTTCAATGTTAGAAAAACTGCAAGGATGTACCTTATGAGGAGTACAGTCTTAAGAAAATGAACACAAGCTACATGTATTACAAATATACTGAGTCAGTGAGATTTGCATGATCCACAAGTACATATGTAAATAAATGGTGGAACCCTTACGAGAGGGAACTTTAAAGCTCTGCGTATTTAAGGTGGATGAAAACAGTTTCCAGCACTAAAGATTTTGATGGATTGTTATAACACTCTTTATCACTTGATGCTACAATCATGGTATCAAAAAATTGCCCAATCATTCAAGTTGGTTAATATGTTGTAATCATTATGTGACACAATAGGTTACCATAGCAATGGTATGATCTGCTAAAAACACCGTTCATTACAGCTTTAGGGGCTTATAATTAAAAAACACAGCATGCAACGTTTTGGCAAAGTTTAAAACAATTTGGTACAATAGGGTTCAGAGCCAACTTAAATTTTCAAAGCCTTAAGTGGGAAAAGTATATTAAGAATTGAAAAAAAGAGAAACTTGTGGAATTAATACCAAAACCATAAAAATGCTTTAGGCAATATATATTGATTGATTATTAACCAAGCATGAGGTCAACATGGCTGGATAGATTCAAAATGTTACAGGCCTAAAGTGGCGTTTGATTTGTGCCATATGTTATTTAATATGTCTCTTTAAAGGATTTATGTTGGCATTGACTAAGATGCCAATCAAAATTATGCTATATAGATAAATAACTTTATTTCAACTCGGGTTGATGAGGCTGATTAGGCCTCTAGCAAGATTATGCTGATTTACCAAGAAAAATAACTTTAAATGAAAGAAAATTGAAATTAAAAAATTACAAGATATAATCTTCTATCAGTCTGTACAGACTGATAGAAGGAAAATATATATGGGTTGTTGACCAAGCTTGAATGGATATTGGTCAAGTTCTTCTTTTTCTGGCATGTTTATGGATCAAGACAGAGTCCAGGTCCAGAAACACGCATAAAAAGAAAGAGGCTACTATCCAACCATCTTGATCGAACAAGCTTGGCCAATAAACGATTTAATCTAATATATGGCTTTGGGGAAATTTTGAGAGCGGGCATGCAGAAGATAGCCAATTGCTCAGATAGCCAATCACAGCACACGATTTGGTTCACCTGGCCTCCTCACGGGGCTAGCCATATAATAAAGACACTTAAAGACTCCTACTGTCTAATGACCTGTCATGACAAACCTGGCAAGTCCACTTGCTGGTATCGTAACAGGTGTACTACTGCCAGACTTTCTAAGAGCTTCTAGATCATCTGAGACAGGGCTCAAGACAAATACCACCACATCTACCTGCAAAAATTAATCAAAATGCTGTAGAACACCACATACTGGGAGCATGAGGTACTTACAACTTGTACATACACTGTACATATGTTGGTCCAAAGTGTAAACAAAATGAGGGATTGGACTACAGCTGTAGTAGTGTTTACTTCAGAACCTGATAATGTTAATTAAAAATGCCCCCGAAATATAGAAAACTAAACTAATTAAAAATATAAACACCCCAAAAATTCACACTTAAGCTTACCATATTTGTAGAGCATGGTGTAATGGTTCATAACCCACAATGGCTAAGCCAATGAAAACTCTTGAATTGCATTATCCATTAAACAAATATTCTACTCACGCTTATTGCATATGAGATGATTATAGCCAACTCAGCGCTACACACCTCATTGGTTATCTACTATCTCGTATCCAATGCGTGCTCGTGGAATAATTGTTAAATGTAGCTAAGCACATAATTTCTACCGTGTTTAAAACTGGTAGATGCATTCTAGGTGACAAGCAACACTGACTGGCATAATGAATCCAGCTTTGCAAATAATCACAATGAAAAAAAAAAAAAAATAGTGCACATGACAGTTTTTGCAGAAGTCCTTTTACAATACAGCTTAATAACTGGAGTCAAACTAACCAATCAGATCACAGGATAATAAATTACCACTGAAGTCATTTCAGCCAATCATTGCTTAGACCCAAACCACGGAAAAGTAAGCAGAGCAAATCCCAGCCAATACCATTTTCTCTCAGCGGGGTAATTGCCCTTCCTATTCCCAGCCTCTCCCCCTGCCCCCCACCATCCCCTCTCTCCCCCAATACAGCTTAACCCTTTGAGCCCCAATTACGCATACATGCATAATTAATGGTTGTACTCTTTGTACCACTTGTGACGTCATCAATTTAAATGTCAGCAGGTATTCTTGATAAGCAGATAGTAGTCCTAGGCTAGGCTTTTCTGTACAATGATCAGGTTTAGATATCGACGACATTCCGACGTCGAAATCGAAAAACAACGTAATCAGTTTTGGTGCAAAAACGGTGGTAAAATGGTTCACTACACCTATGATTGATCAAGGTCCATTTCTAGGCTTC